AAAATGGGTTTTAAAGTTGAACCAGATGGTAAAACACGGCAAGAGGTTTTGTAAAACTTGCAGACAGGACTTTGCAGAAAAGTGTTACACTTTGTCACAACGATAGCATGGAAAACAGTCAGAAAAATAGCTTTCATGGGACAAAATGAATGCAGGAATTGTATGTATTTGATTGATGTAATGACTTGATGGATGCACTGCGTTGAAGCAAAAGTTGAGCAAGGTATAACTTTTTGCTTGTCAACACTTGTTTTCTTTGCCGGGCAACCCTGTGTTTCGCCCCACTGCACAACAGACTGGTTTCATTCAAATGAATGAATGAAGAGAGGGCTGTTCTTTTATGCAAGGCTGAACTCTGTGCAAATGCAGCCGGAGCGTGTGGAAGTCGTGGTGGTACATTTGCATGTAGTGCTAAACTCACACCACATTTTTTCCCTAAGTGTGTTAGCTCTCCAACCGTGACCATAACCAAAACTAAACCGTAGTTTATATATCCATGACCACATGTTTTCCCTAAGCTGACAACACCACCATACACAGATATTGTAGAAAGAATGATGCAAAACAGTCAACAAATGTTCAAAGTCAATCTTCCAGCTTGTGTGTACAGACAGAGAAATCGAAATACTGTTTCCCACAATCCCGAATATAAAAACAATGTATATAGAATATAAAATATAAAAATATGTGTGCAAATATGTATATATATACACAGTCAAAGACACATTTTTTACATGTGCACACATTAAGTCCTAAATAAAAACACAACAATCAATATATACAAAGATAACAGTCACTTCAATATTTTGAGAATGTACATTAGTGCAGATTGTCCATTGAACGTGCATTATTGCATTCTATGGACAATTTGCACTAAATTATTGTTGTCTTTAGACTTCAATAGCTAATGTCTCAAGTAAAGTCTCTGACGTCAGATATCTCTCATCTCGTCTGGCCTTAGATTTGTTCAGTGAGTCTGAGGCTGATCAGCACACTGAACTGATTCATCACTGGATGTGTTTGAAACCCTTTTGCATAATGTTTAGACATACTCTGCTTCCTTTATACTGCAGCTTTCTTGTGTCTTAAAACACAGTGGAATCAATTGTACTTGCGCCTTGTAAGCTTTGAGTGTTTTATTTCAAAGACACTTAAAACAGAATCTAGGCTGAACGTGTTTTTTCTATAGTTCAACTAAGAATGACTTTTTTTATCTGATTGTATGCAGAAACTGAAATTCACAGGAACTAATCAAATATTCTGATGCCGTTTTGTAAAGCGTTCTGCCTCTGACACTTTTGATTTAATTTCTCATGGTGACCGTGATTTTGTGCTGAGAACGAAGAGTGTCGCATTTTGCCGAGTTTTGCACTTTGAGTGAAAATTGAGTCAAAGGCTTCGTAAAAAAAAAAAAAAGGGAACTGTGAGAGAGAGACATGAAGGGAGATAGAGAGAGATCAGCCTGTGTTACTGTCAAAGTGCAGTGGAGCGCAACACACTTCTCCAGGGTACAGCACATCACTCTCACTCTGTGATTTCTATGTGTGGCTGTGTGTACATTTCTAAGCATGTTTGTGCGTGTATGACTTTAAGTGAAGCTGGATTCCACATGTATGAACTGGCGTGTCTTTATACACATGGGCACATCTTCCTGGATCCATGTGTGCTGGTTTTTCCATATTAATGTCTGTTTGTGACCGCGGAGAGTGTATGTGTGTATGTGTATGTGTATGTGTGTGTGTGTGTGTGTATGTGTGTGTGTGTGTGTGTATGTGTGTGTGTGTGTGTGTGTGTGTGTGTGTGTGTGTGTGTGTGTGTGGCCCCAGGCCTTGCACTGAGACTATAAAGACTCTAGTGTTACTGGTCCAGGGGTTACAGTGGGCCGCTCCTGACTCTGACCTACATCGTGCTGCAGTTAAGGCCGAGTCTCATTAACTTCCCTGCATCTTAACTCTCACATGCGATGTTATAACACAAACCACCACTATTATAGTTGTGTTGTTGCTTACACTCAGCAGACATAATGACAGAATGTCCTTTAGGGCCTGAGTTGTCCTTTTACGTCCTGAGCTGACAGAATGATGACACACTTGCCTTTTGCATTTGAGACCTTCACTGTTTTTTTTGTGAGCTCTCTAATGTAACATACAAGCTCATTGTGTTTGTGAGAAATAATAAGCAAATCCATTATCCTGATAATTGATCATTATTTAAAGAAGACATATTATGCTCATTTTAAGGTTGGGTTAATATTTGTAATTTGTGCCTCTACTGTGACAAAAAGTGGTTTATTTTTCTCATACTGCCTGTGCTGCAGTCCCAGTCTGATTGGTCTACTGTTTAGAGATGTCCCGCCCCTTGGCCTATCAAGTACAATGTGTTGGAGCGCTAACCAATAGAAGCGTGAGTGTTGCATAGTGATGTCATTATGTTACAGAAGTAAACAAAGGAGTCCAATGGAGGCGTTTAGGGGAGAGGAACTATCAGATTTTAGCCTTTGCAGACCATTTAAATGCACAAAACCCTATAAAACACACTACAGCAAAGGGGAAACCCCAAAAGCATAATAGAGCCCCTTTAAAAAAAGCCAATATATATATAAAAAAAGTTTGTCTCATCTGTTTATTATTGCTCACTTTTCAGTCAAAGGTCAAACTTAATGATGTTGCCCTTGAATAGCCTGACTGAGCAATATCAGATGAGTTTATACAGTATATAAACTCATGGTCTTCCAGTAACAAGAAATACACTAGAGGTGTAAGTATAATATAACATGGTCAATAATGTAAACACTGTAGGGTAGACGAGTGTCAGACTTGAACTTTCAACTGCTCAAAAGGACTCTATTGTTGCCTTTGTACTTTCTTTTATTTTCTTTCAAGGATAGTTTCTTAAAGAAATGCTTTTCCATTTATATGAAAACCCTGGGATATAAAATGCTCCAACAGCAAGTCATCCATGGTGCTATCATAAGAGAAAAGGTTGTTTTTTTCAAAATGTTGCTACTGTATTTATACTCTACACTTTAAACAAGGGAGCTTCATTGAGCTGTGATTGTAATTACAATAGGAGTTCACACTTTATCTAAGTGTGAGTAAGGGCAGCATAGAGAGGCGAAGTCCCGCCCATCTACTACCGACCCATGGGACCTTATTTCGGAAAGATTATGTATTGAAGTCAATGGAGAGAGAAAACGTATCTTTCGATCCCGTTTGAATTGTGCCACGAATTACACATATGATGTTTGTCAATCTTAAAAAATTATTTCCATGTCAAAAAGTCACAGTTTGTCGTAAAACTGTTGAAATATAAGACTATGAAAAATACGCAACTAGAAAGACTACAAATCCCAGAGTCCCGGTCCCGCATGCTGGCTCTTATGAACCGACTAACTCCCCTTGTGTGTATGTACAGCTCTCAACATGCCCAGACTTGGAGTGATTTTCACCTCTTTTAATACTTTACGCCTCATTCTGAAAGAAAGAAGTGAAATGTGCCAACGTGACGGCCGTCTTGGTGTGTGGTGCGAGATGGGAGATGTAGTTCATTGAGCGGTTTCACACAAAAAAAGTGTTACTTCACAGTTTTACGACACATTTTTATTTGTTTGACTTGCAAAATGATCTTTTAAATTGACAAACATCATACGTGTAATTCGTGGCACAATTCAAACGGGATCGAGAGATTATCTTTCTCTCCCCATTGACTTCAATACATACTTTTTCCGAAATAAGGTCCCATGGAGGTCCCCGGAAAGGGAGGGACTTCGCCTCTCTATTGGAAGTGGGCCATAGTTAAAAAGAGCCTTGAGTGGTTGAAAGACTAGAAAAGCACTTTAAACATGAAAGTCCATCTACCTTTGTACTGTATGCGTCATGATGGGTCAAGACCGTGCAGAGTTTAGTACTATAGCAAATCTTTTCCACTGATGAACACACCTTCAGAAAGAATGAGAGGAAATAATCACTAAACTCAGCATCTGTTTATCTGGAAAAGAAACCTTCAGAGCGCTCTTTACTGAGATCCAACTTACAAACTCAAAAGCTCAATCTTTTATCCGTTTATATAAAGAGAGGGTGAATCATACGCAATGTTATGCAAGTCAATTGTGTTCAGGTATCGGAAAAAAGTTCCAAACCAAAGAACTGACTGACCTGTATTGGAAACTAAACTCCCACTGTGCCACTGCTGCCTTTATCTTTCATCAATACAACGGACAATACTTGAATGTCTCACAGTCGAAGCATTATGTCTTATAGGGCCTCAGATCTTAAAAGCAACCTCCTAGTGACACTTTCTTAAAATCTGAATCTTTGAGAAGACATACAAATTGCAGGAATGTGTAATTATATAACTACTTCTGTGCGGCATGTGTATGTTTAATGTTTAGTCTTTAAATGTTTTACGGGATGCAGCCCGTGGACCATTTTGAATCGGCCCTCACTCAGCAAAATTAAAAAAGTATAATGACTTAAGTATAATAAACTTCTGCTTGTCTTATATTGTACTTCTTAAATATATATGTTCAAATGTTCAAATACCGGTATATTACACAGTATTCATGTGTTAATATGCCCCATTTTCAAATAAATTCAAAGACAATTAAAGTTGAAAACATGTTCTAACAAATCTAAGTTGATAAGAAAAAAGCCCAATAACAAATCTACATGACAAACTTGAAATATAGCCTTCATATTTCCTCTTATTATAAGCAATCTGAAGCTTCTGTTTTAAGGAATGAGCCGCTAACAAACTAAATGAAATCCTCTGGAGAGCTGTGAGCTGTTTTTTCTTAAAGAATAATTTACCTACATTGGATTTACTTTTCCAATGTATAACTGAACTTATGAGGCAATATACCTCTACTGAGCGGCCCAGCCCTTCTTATATTTTTCTGTATGTGGCCCTCTGTGAGAAAAGTTTGGACACCCCTGTTTGACAGTAAAGCATTCCTTGCAAGTATAGTCCAAATCCTGATATGTGTTGTTCCCTCTCGCCAGGCCAAGACTCACAAACCGGCTCAGCAGCACCAACACCGGGAGGAGTTGCACTTCGTGGATGAGTATGGCCAGCCAATCACAATGCAGGTGGAAGCGAGAAGGGAGCATGGTCACAGGAGGCGGCGGTCTCGATGCGGGCCGGAGTTCAGCGTCCCAACAGAGAGACACTGGGAGGCCCTGAGAGCCATGGGGCTGATGGAGGGAGAGGGGGGCCAGGGAGACGGATACACCGCAGGGTGGGTACTGTTGGAAGCTTAGGGACTGGGGTAAAGAGTTTAAAGGTCCCCTATTATACTGTTTCTAATCAATATAGTATAGGTCTCAGATATATACAAAACATGTCTCTGAAGTGTTTGGCTCCAAACACCAAACAGATCATTGCAGCATCCCATAATCCCCTCTGTTTCAGCCCTGTTTCAAAAGTGCTGATTCTCTGTCTGTTACTTTAGATGAAAATAAGGAGCCCCTCCCCACGCCCCTCTGAGAGATATTTGGTTAAAAAGAACACAATGGTGCTCTAGGAGGAGATTCAGGTGATAAGGTGGGGGGGGGGGTTACCTTGGTTGCTGATTGGCTAATGGTTACACAAGCCAAACAATCATTATGACATCATAAAGTGGCCAAAATCTGATCAGCTCATTTTCAGACAGGTTTTTATAAAAATGGATCAGGACAAAAAGAGAGAGAATCTTTTTTCCTGAAACTTTCAGAGTCTCTTTACACAGAGGGGACACATGTTGATGTAGAAGAGACATGAAGAAGAGGGGACACATGTTGATGTAGAAGAGACATGAGAACATGGATTTTGCATAATAGTTTACCTTTAAGCTTTAGTTTGAGAAAGGAACTAAATTATGAATCTCGGGTTGTCCTAAGTAAAGGCAAGAAGACAGTAATCTAAATAAGCGTTGGACTTTTTTCTTAGTTACATATTTGGGACTAAAGGATTGTAATTGGGGGTTAGGGTTAACAGTTGTGTAGAGCTTTGGACCAGGTAATCATTTTGGAAATGGGAGGGACATTTGGACCTAAGTTAAAAGTCTGGATGTGTGGGACAAGGGTACGATTTTTAGAATGGGCCAAAAACGATTGGACTGACGTAAAAGTTTGTAATGCAGTAAAAAGTGGCCTTAGCCTTAAGGAAAATACATAAAATGAAGACCTCTACTTCTACATCTATTGATGATTCAAATATAGGGAAAACACTTTTCACTTCAGGCTACGGTTTGCAGGGTCAGCATGATATTGCATTGAGTCTCTTGGCACTTTTATAAATATTCATGAGGGATAGGTTGTTCTGCTGAGGCAGCTGTCAGTGCAACTCATGCTTTGATTATACATGAGAATGAAAACTAAATATTCATAGAGGAATTTACATATCATGGAAACAAGAACCATTTACATCTATGCAAATCTGAATAATAAAGAAACCCACATGATCTGAGCTCTTACCCTCTTATACATTTCCCTTGACATCACCTTCTTGTAAAACATGACCTACTTGCTTCTTCCACACAGGCCTTACTATGGTCACATGGCCGTGTCACCTGACCTGTACTCGGCCAACAGTCACATGATGATGTCTGATGTCTATCCACCCAATGGATACCTGCCTATATCATCCAATGATCAGCATCAGGGGAACAGCTACTTGCCCAGCGTCTCCTACAGCTTAGATCACCTGGACAGACTGGACTACCAGGTGATTTTTTTTATTGTATTGTCTTCTGAATTAATTCTAGGGATTGCTATTATATATTTCACAAGTAATGATTTGAGAATAATTTCTAATTTCTGATCTCTTTTTTCTATTTCAGACTCCAGAAATGTTGCCCTACCAGCCTAACTCAGAGAGCTGTCTGATTGGCTGCTACAACACAGAAGAGATGGAGCCAAATCATTTCTCCAGACAGGTAGCTATTTTCAGTGATGGCATCAAAGCCATTTTACTTCTGATTTGGTTGTCCTTTGCACTTGTTTAACAAATCTCTTTGAATAAATGAATTTGTGACTGTTATTTTGTATATATTGATTGTTGTGTTTTTATCTTAAAGTGGACCTATCATGCTATATTATAATAATATAGTGTAGGACCATACCTATATAAGGCATATTTATACTTTTTTTTTTTCAAAATACCAAACAGATCATGCATTTTAGCCATGCCTCATTTCGCTCAATTTGCACTTTTTTAGCCTTGTTTTTGCAAGGGCTGATTCTGTGAGAACAGCACCACCTATAGGCCTGGCATATGTACTACAGCGTCTCCAGCGCTTTCGAACGGCAATGGCCGTGGCTGTCTCCGCCTGATTGGTGGAGTTGGCCCAATAGCCGTAGCGCCACCGTCCTGACGTCAGGACAGTGTTCAAATCTGGATCAGTTTTTATCAGATCCGTTGCAGCCCCTTTTTTAGAGATTTGGGTATGGAAGAAAATAGAGAGGGTTGTGTTTTCTGACACTTGGTGAGTTCCCTGGAACACCGGGGACACATATTCATGTATAAAAGACGTACCAAAGTGCATTTTGCATGATAGGTCCCCTTTAATGTGTGCATATGTATAAATGCGTCTGTTGATTGTGTATATAGGATATACATATTTTATACATATTTGTATTTGAGATTGTGGGAAACGGTATTTTGATCTCTCAGTCCATAGCCTACACACAAACTGAAAGATTGACAATAAAGTTGACTTTGACTGACTTTGAGTTTGATTTGAAATGTTCTCTTACTTGCTCTTCAGCAGGACTACCAGCCTCCCTGGCGGTCTGATCGTCATCTGGGATACCTCCCCCTCAGTGAGCTGGACAGTGGGCTTGGATGTGGTCCTGACAGTCCCCACCACCGGGCGGCGCTCTCCGAGGCAGAGACAGACGCCATGTCTTCTCTGCCCGGTCACACCGCCTCCTCCCAAGGCTCCTCCTCTTCCTCCGAGTCCCTCATCTCGTCTGAACCCAGCGACTCGGGCTTCCACAGCGTCAGCACCGGGGAGCACAGACGACTGCATAAGATACACGGAAGCCACGCCCATCGACAAACTCACCATCTTCGCTCGGGCCACTCCCCTCGAGAGCAGAGAGGACGCTGGGATTTGGAGTCCATCCCAGAGACCACTCAAATGACTCACTCTGGAGCACCACAGGCGTCCCGTTGCACTGTGGGTAACAGCACGACCACCACAGTTCACTTCCACAGAGCTGAGAGAAGTCCGACCTTACCTCGCCACCGTTCACCACCTTCCCCTTCCATTGGTAAGTAAAGCCCTCCAATTATTATTTTTTTATTTAATTTTATATTCACCTATTGCCATATTTTACAGATTCGTAAAACCATAACATCAGAAGGACTATCAACCAGATTATAATGTCAGAGTTTTAGGAATCGTTCAAAATGTTCGGTCCATACATACTTACGGGCCGTCTCCACAGCAGCGTTAAAAAATCTTGAAACGCTTCTGCCCATTCACTTTGAATGGGGTGACGTCACTTTCCCTCACTTTTCGCCGAAATGCATTGTGGGCAGGCGAGCGGAGATTTTGAGGATTTTGAGGATTCAAAGTTGAACAATGTTCAACTTTTGAAGCTGAGGTGGAAGCGGCAGCCAATCAAATCCCGTGTACGCAAATCTGACCGTTCAAGCTCTAGCCAATCAAACGGCGTGTATGCTGGGAGAGACATACCGCAGGTCATTTCCTCATATTCCAAAAAATGGAGGAGAAATTAGCGGTAGCGAATCAATCACCCGGTGCTTTATGACCAGACCTACCGGGATATAAACCGGAGGAGCCAGGCATGGAGGGAGGTGGCAGAGACAGTGGTATGTTTTCGCCTGTTTTGGGGAGTTTATATCCAGTTTACTTCGGGCTTTTTTGCTTCGTATGTCGCGGGCGGGAGATTCATGTGATTGGTTGTTCGCAAAAAATCCCCAAGCTTCAGATACGCCCACCTCCAAGATTTTTTTAACGCTGCTGTGGAGACGGTCCGTTAGAGTATATGAGTGTAACGCAGCCTACACACGGCGGCGTGCGTTGCCGCTTGGCGGTGGGCGTGTCTTGAGCTTGGAGAGTTTACGCGAGGAACGCGACCAACAACCAATCACATGAATCTCCCGTGTCTCTCCCCAAGGGCTGGAAAATTGAAGAAGTGACCAGAAAGTCGCGTTTGTCAGCTGGAAAAAGCGATGTCTATTATTTTAGGTACTAAACGAACGGGGGCTTGCAAAACGTTTAGCTGCTGCAGGACACAAGAGTTTGCGGAAACAAGACATGAGTTGATAATTGGAAGGGGGGATCTGTGTAAAGTTTGTGATGGGAAGGGGGGGGGGGGTTCTGTTTGCAGCGGGGTAAAAAGGCTTTAAAAAGGCTCCCGTGTATGAATCTCACCATAGACATTAATATCTAAAAAGCGATTTTTAATTCATGTCTATGGTGCTATTTTATGCAACATTGCATGGTGGCTAAATATACTGTCTATGCCTGCTGTCCATTCAAACGAAGTACACTGGATATAAACTCCCCAAACAGGCGAAAACCTACCAGTTTCACCCACTGTCTCTACCACCTCCCTCCATGCCTGGCTCCTCCGGTTTGTATCCCGGTAGGTGAACAGGGACTGAAAGCACCGGGTGATTCCCTACCGCTACGATTATTTTCTCCTCAATTTTTTGGCATATGAGGAAATGAACTGCGGTCTGGCTCTGCCAGCATACACGCGGTTTGATTGGCTAGCGCGTGAACTGTCAGATTTGCATACGCGGGATTTGATTGGCTGCCGCCTCCGCCTCAGCTTCAAAAGTAGAACATTCTCTACTTTTGCAGCGAGCACCGCGAGGAAAGCTACGCTTTGCTCCCAGAATGCAGTTCGGCGAATCGTGACGTCACCCCATTCAAAGTGAATGGGCAGAAGCGTTGAAGAGTCACCGCACGCCGCCGTGTGTAGGGGCCGTAAGGGAACATGCATGTAAGTTTATGATAATGACTTGGTATCTTCTTATTTTTTCCCTGCATATACCCGATTAAGAAGCACAGAAACTGCCAAGGAAAAGTTGTTTAAAACTGTGCTCCTATATATATATATATATATATATATATATATATATATATATATATATATTTATATATATTTAACTATTATGTATGGTATTCAAAACATTTGTAGATTTGTATAAAGACACACCATAACATCTTACAAGACAATGCTGAATCATTCATGGTCACCATTTTCCTTCAAGGGGATGAATGAACATGATTGATGGTGCAACATCAATCAAGGAGTAGTTTGAGATATGTTCCTGTTATTCAGCCTTTGATCCTGTAACATAAAAATGTACATTTGGGATGAATGCAGTCCTTGATTTATTTAGATACCATTCCAATAAATCCCATAAACATTGGCAGTTTTGTGAGGCATCAATGTCTTTGTTGTCTTGTTTAACACCAAAAAGTTACAGGTAGCTTTTTGAGACCACTTTGAGGTAACTGTTAGGTGTTAGGGCCAAAGGTGGTCCAACATGCCACTGTTTTTCAAGGTATTGAGCGCAGAGTTTTCCCTGGAAACAAGTCTTGCTATAATGACTAAATGGAGAAGTATGTATTTGGACATGTATTGTAAGACTTGAGACCTGATTACTTATTTTGTCTGCAGGTTGTCATACTGAGCCCTGCCAGCGTAGGGCGCTGTGGTTGGAGCAGCAACAGCATGGTGGCGGGAGGATAGAGGTTCCAGTGCGGAGTCGAACAATAACAGATTTGAGCGAAAGCCAGCGCCCCCGCAGGGCCAGTCATCCCAACATGGCCGATCCAAACATTCTCCAGAACAGCCAACCACGAGCAGCCAGCAGCACGCTGGGCCCGAGGAGCAGGGCCAGTTATCCCAGTAACTCTCGCCCCACCAGTCACCACCTCAGCATCGACAGAACCAGTATGATCAATCAGCAGAACATACTGAGAAACAGCAAGCGCATGAGCCGGAGCAGAGAGGAGGACTACCTCTCTAAGAGTCCTGGGTCCGGCTCCAGTGGAGCGTCAGACTGGCGCGGGTTTCAAACCTTAGGGAGTCGCCCCGGCATGCCTACAGCTCCCTCTGTTCCTTACTACAGCACCCTGGGAGCCCCACAACATCACCCTCGCTCTCCCCCCCTCTCCACGCTCCAGACTGTCCAATCAGAAGTCAGTCAGGAACCAGCTCCTGAGAGCACGAGCTTACCGATTGGCCAGGGAACGCAGCGAGGTCACAACAGATGAGGACGTGCGAGGAGAGGGGGAGAGAGAAAGGGATGATAACGGGGAGGATGGACGATGGGCTGGGAGATACTGGAGCCGCACCGAAAGAAGACGCCATGTTGCGTTATCACGGCAACACAGAGAGAGGAGGGGAGGGGAGGAGCATGGCGGGGGTCTTCAGGGGTCGCTGTCGTCTCAAACTGTGCTGGAGCTGAGCCACATGAAGCAAAACCGACTGAGGAACCGCAAACTGCTTGATGATTGGACAACTGTTGAAGAACTGCTGACTCACGGGACACGAGTGGAGAGCGACAGTCAGCTTTGTCCCAGCCCTCTGTTATCAGTTACAACTGTCTGATTGGGAAAACTCATGATACACATTTGATATGATGATTGATGAAAGTATCCAATACAACACTCAGGCCCAGATTCATAGAAGGTTTGCGTAGTTAAAATTGCAAATGTCTGCACTAAATTGACCAAATCAGAAATACTAGTTTTTGGTGACAGAAGTCATGGATCCATTAATTACATTTAAATTAGATAATTTTAAACCCTTCGCTGCTACCAATTGCATAGCCAATATATGGGGAGGATAGGGGGAGCCTGAGGATATCAACCAAGTTCAAATATAGCTGATAAACCAAAACAATGACTTAAAAAAGGCTAAAAGTTGGGTAGAGCTGCTGAGTTGGTGTTACACTTAAAAGGATTGGCAATACTAGTGTTAAGTGCCATTTTCAAATTGCATTGCACCAGTCTATGCAATGTTAAATGTTACCATTTTTAAAATAAACAAATGCTTAAATAGATGCTTGCAGACATGAGTTTAAACAGATTAACAGAAATGTAAAAATGCAACTACATTGGACTTAAATACAATAAAAAAGGATCTTAGTCTGGTCATTTACTGTATCAATGAAAGTCTGGACATCAGAGCATAAAAGAATCTATTCATAGGGTTTCAGAAATATAAGAACAACATGGCCAAAGTTGCAACTGAGGGTCAGACCAACAAGTAATCTCCAGAAAAAGGTTCAAATGAACACAAATGTATGGCAATCTTCCTATCGCTGGAGAACCTAAACTGACAAACTGAACCAACGCTACAGTCTGACAAGAACAAGAAACTTCTGATGGAAAGATTGCTATAGAAATGAGTTTCTGCAGGTTTGTACAAGTAAAGGACACTAAAGAGCTGCATTAGCTTCAGACTCTGCATCATTAACAGATTCACTGGACGCACCAGTCGGACTCTTCACACACCAGACCGCCTGTGACTGCTCTAAAATAACACATATCGGTTGTGTTGCCTTGTGGAAACGTTTCTACATCTCCTTTATCTGGTTTAACTGCCTTTGATTCCGTCTCTGTGCCATAAATTGTCAAAAGGGTGACTTTAGGGTGAAATTTAAAAAAATTGTAAGCCGGTTGGAGGATGATCAAACAGCCTCTAAATCCTCTTCCACAATGTTGCACCAAACTGTTGTTGTTGTTCTGGCACCACTTTCACAGTTTTCATCCTGGGTTGTTTACCCTTTTAATCTCTCACAGACTTGGAGTGTAAATGAATAAGATATTTAGGGAGGGCTCACAAGTCTACATGCAGCAATGTTCAATCCGGTTTCTATTTAGTTCTTAGTATTCTGCTGCATTTAGTGATCATAGCTGTCCAAAAAGGATTTATATATCGGTTTTCAAATCAAGGGTTGCCATAGTTTGACATTTTGTGGACGACCCTTTCTTTGTTTTCTCTCGCATAAAGTTAGATGAGATTATTGATCCCAATGTATGTTGAATATGGAGCTACAGTCATTAGACTAGCTTAGCTTACTTAGCATACATACCAGAAGAAGGTAGGCTAGTTAGATCAGGTATAAATCCTCCAGCAGGCAATTTTGTCTGAAGACGATAAGCCTGATACACAGACTTCTTTCAAGCACCAGCCATTTTTTTACTGTTGCCGTTAGTAATTTAAGATATGAGGATGGAGTTGGAGTTAAGAGACGAGGTGATTGATACTTGATTGACTGAAGTAGCCAGTTTAGAGTCAGTTCACTTTGAATTATTTAGCTTCAGATAGAAATAATCAAATTGCTGTTAGTCGATGAGCTCGGATATTGTGTTTCAGCAAACGCTTTCTGCCTCTATTTCATGCCACCAAATCCTACTCAAATGTGATTGGTCAGTACCAAATACCAAAATCCTGTTCAGTTTCCTGCTCGTTCTGAATTTATATACAGTTTGAAAAAATCATAAAGCAGTAATAGCTCCCAGTAAAACTAAACATGCAAGAACACATGTTTATTTTTAAGCTTTAGAGGATTTGATAGGCAGATATTCTTTACCTTTGGACAATGTTTCCCATTGTTTAGAGCCTATATGGTACGCTGCGATACAGAGTTGCTGGCTGGAGCTTCTTATTGGACATATGTAAAATAGGTATCACTCTTCTCATCTAAATGAAATTAAGATTTATTTGATCTTTAAATGACTCAATAAGATTCTCATCCAGCCTGAATCTCAGGTAGCTTTTCTTTTTACTAAATATAATCCTATTCTTTTAAAGGATTACCGGATCATCACAACAACAGTCCTTAAATCTCCTTACTTACGTTGGGCTTACACTGGTGACAAATATCGATATATCTGTTATCTTGTCACATACATGCCAGAAGACAATATGGGTGGCAGCATTAATCTGAGACTAATCAGGGTGAAATGATATGTATATACTGAAACTGTTCAATGCAATTTTGTTAAAATAAGATAATGTCAATTTATTTTCATATTCTGTCGAGGTTTGGAGGAAATCAAGACCGTTTACAGGTCACAAAGTTGGACTCGTCAAATGAATATATTTAAGGTTTATTTTTTAAATGTTGTGTGTGTGCGTGTGTGCGTGTGTGTGTGCGTGCACGTGTGGTGTGTGTGTGTGTGTGTGTGTGCGTGCACGTGTGTGTGTGTGTGTGTGTGTGTGTGTGTGTGTGTGTGTGTGTGTGTGTGTGTGTGTGTGTGTGTGTGTGTGTGTGTGTGTGTGTGTGTGTGTGTGTGCCAGAGAGAGAGAAAGTGTAACGTTTGATACCAACGTATTAGTCGTGTTTAGCCAAAGATATTGTATAACTTTGGTTTGTAGACAATCTAGAACAACAATCACTGTATGATGTAAAAGTATATTTTATAATTATATTAGTTTTATATACTTTTTCCTTTATTTTGCCTTCAGTAGATGAATTCTGCTTTTCACCAACAACCTGCTATGCTTGTGTATGTATATAGATGTCATGTAAAATCAACTGTTAGCATAAGCAAGCTTTATTATGACAAACTAAACCTAGCATGCTAACTCCTGATTAGCACAGAACAAGCATTTCAATGATTGCCTAAAGTGTCATAAGTGCTCAAGTCATTGTCCTCTATTTTTCACAGCTTTGATTTTGACATATTATCTAAGAGGAAGTGGAGCTCGGAATCACGTATGATTTAATATGTTAAATTGTATTGAGGGAGCCATGTGACTATGTTGTGGCTGGTTACAGTGCATTCTGTGAAGCATGCATCTAACTCATCATCTGTCGATCTGAGGTCAAACGTTTTTTTCCACCCTTCACACCCAGGAAAATTCTTAAAAGGGAAACTTTATACAGTAATGTCATAGCTGTGATTACTCCGATACAACAATATTTTTATTGAGATGTGTTTTTTGTTCTTTATTTTTTACATGAAGAATAGAGGGGAAATGTGTTCATTCTTTATTTTTTGGAAAGTCAGATAAAAAGATGAATTGAAGTCTCATGCCTGTGTGTTCAATACAAAGTTTATAGAGAGGTGGTTAGCCTAGCTTAGCACAACGTTTGATTTTGAATGTTTATTCCATATCGCATTTCCTAGAATGTGATTTCACAGTCCTTGCATTGACTGTCGAACAAGAAATATGTCCTGCATTTTAACACAGAGGAGATGAATATTCAGCATTGTGGCTCACTCTCTGAGCAAACCTAAATGGGTATATTTCAGAAAATGTTGAATAATTATTTAAGAGAGTTCAACTTTAAAATGGCACTTGAGACTATGTTGTTTAGGTTTTGTGAATCTGGTCCTGGATTTGGGGGGTTTTACTGCTTCTGTCTCTTTCAGGGCTTTGTGCAATAATCAGAGGTCAATCTGCTGGTTGCAGTCTGTTGTGTTTTTGCTCAACGTGTCGTGCTCAAGTTTGTGTCTGATGATGTCAGAGAGGGAGGTAGTGTGTGCGATGGGATCAGGATGAGACAGGAAGGCGACAACGAGGGGTTTTTGTATTTTTTGTTTGTGTTTCCATGCACCCTGTGACCTCACAAATGTAATGAAATTTGAATCATGATGTCCATGAGATTTCTGATGGATCACACCCAGAAATAATTTAAGACAATGTCAGTAAACTGTGAAAATTGAAAAATATCCTTGTTGAGTTTATTTTTGTTTGATAAATTAAATCTAAAAAGGTACACTGTGGATTTTGTGTTGCACCTGACCTACCTAATGTTTGGGACAAATCCTCCTGCAATAAGCCTTTTGTTTAGTGTTTCTGCTCAAGTTATAACCATGATGTTTCAAAGACAACAACATATTGATTTAATCTAATACATACATCTAAATTAACATAGGAAGATTTCAATATGATTTTATTTAACATTAATGCAATTCTATTACATTCTTTTTGAATAATAATTTTCTGGGAAAAGTCCTGAAAAACCTTTGTGAATGAATGATAGTAAACATTGATTGTCTTAAAAGAAAACTACATTTTGAACAAAGCGAATATTAATTAATTATAATTGGACAATGTGTTTTCAATTGAGGTTATTTCACTAGGACAATAATGTATTTTCAGCAAGAGTGAAATAATTGATTACGCAAAACAAATTACTGCAATGCATTTACTACAAGGGTACAAATTCAATATATTTTGTATTAAATTAGTTATTTCCACCCAAAATTACAAGACACTATTATTATATGAATCATCTGAGATTTCTTTAATTTTGTTTTTGTTGTGACAAAACACCAAGATCACAAGTCAAGTCAAATATCCCTCTGGCATGAAATAAACGAACAGGATATAAATAAACAGTTGACTAAGCTGTTAAATACACAGATTGTTTGGGGTTTTATGATCATTCAGGGCTGTTTATCTCGGCCCTGAATGTGGAGCGAGTTTGTGGGGACGAGACGCTCTGCTGAGTTCATAAATTCAGAGTGAGAGGACAGCTGGGTCTGAAAATCCTGCCTAATGCAGATTTTGGGAATCAAAGCGTGATGTGAAAACAGACACATGCTGCCGCACAGTTCAGGGTTCTTCAAAGCACATGACCCACAGCTAAAAAAGGGTGAGTGAAGACAGATATGTAGTTAGTTTTATAACCAGAAATGGCCTTCAAATTGTGGGTTTTTAAATGTCACAAAAGGAAAAGCACAGGTGTAAATAATAAAAGCCGTCAGTGTTGTGTATGCTGACTTTGCTGTTACGCTACAAGGGTTTGCAGCCATCTGTTTGCATTAAAGAGCCTGAGTGGCAACGATGTACATTTTCTAGAAAAAGCCTTAGTGAATAAATGATGATGTATATGAAACACATGACTTGAAGTGAACAGCTGAGAACAACAAACTGTGGTTTGTGCAGCTTACAGCAAGAGTGCTTCATACAGAGGACAGAAGATTTGTCTTGCTTTTCTTTTTAAGACTTTAAAGTCTATGAAATAGGTGGTCTTTTCCTATGTCTAGTCAAGCGTCTTGTTACATACTGCCTATATGATGAGTTTTGGGGTACTTACGGTAAGGCTGAATATGATGATCCTCATTGAGCGCGTTTCCCCTGGACTGTAAGTAAAGAAACAATAAGTCAACATTGTATGTCTTTTCTGTCAACAGCTGCAAAGGAATTAAATGTCAATTCCTTCCATTTCGCAGCTGATATAACAACTATGTTTAAAAAACCTGGGCCACATGTTCAGTTATTGTCCTGGTTGTTGTTTTTTTCATCACAAACTCGGCAGGAAACATTGACTGAGTGACAGCATCTCTGAGTTTAGTCACTGGCGGCCATGTTGGCTCTTCAGGCCTGCTCCGTGACAGTTGCCATAGCAACAGGTGTCTCAACGGCAGCAGCTCTCAGCCTCGTCACCATGGTGATGTTATGAGGAGGACGATGGGACTTTATTTACAGCTACACTCGTCAGCTGTGCAGAGAGAATCGGCAGCATCAGTGACATTTAACGCAGCTGCACCGTCTGACCTCAGATCTGTCATTGTGGTGAACGCAACCAGTGAAAAACAATACATAGGTGTAGTAGTTTATAATCTATTTTCACGCTGGAGTGACACATTTAACTCCTGTTGTTCTTCTACGTCTGACCTGAGGAATCTGAGAGTTAGCTGCGTCATCGCTTCAGCTGCAGCAGGGCGCCCTCTGCTGGTGAACACGTGGAACTACAACTGCTGCACAAACACCTGCAAGAGGAAAGCTGTAAGAGAAAAATACAATCAGGAAACTATTAGGAGTTTCTGACAGCCAAGTCTCAAGCACACTGCTTAGTTCAGTTTTACCTCGAAAGTCGAAACAGACATAGCTTGATGTAAACACAATACTTTTCTTAACTACATTTAATTATGAGACACTCTACAAAACGTGATGAAAATGGTATCACATAAACCCTAATTTTAGCCTCAACTGGATTCCATTCAACTTCTGGAGAAATCTCTGACCTGCAGGTTACCAGAGGTGAAGATGGCACATAACCAGACACAGAATCAAAAACATAATGTGGGATTAGAATATCAGACGAACTTGTAAATATATCTAAAAAAAAAAACGTGGACATTTCATTTTGTTTCTTCTCATTCGCAATTTTCGGGGCATTTTTTCCCCTCTCAATTTCTAACACTGCTCTACTTTGTCTTATTATTATTCAACCATGCACCTTCCATTGAGAAAACCTGAAGAAAAAACCCCAAAAAGGCTCACTTTGTATCTTTGTAAAGCGACATTATGGTGTGTGCCACATTGTTACGTCCCCACCAGAGATGGGGTCGTTACTAAAAAAAAGTAATATATTACATATTACTTTAAAAAAAAGTAATATATTACACTACTTTGTTACTCTCTACATAAAGTAACTCGTTACTTTACTCGTTACTTTACTCGTTACTTTACTCGCAGGGCCGGCCCGCCCCTCCCTACAGGCAGATCACGCAGACTGCTAAGTTTCAAATGTTCTCTTTAGTTCAGTTTCCATTGTCGCATAAGACTGATCCAGATAGCTCTGACTATGGCTGTCCTCTGTCTCCTGCTATCTGTATTTTGCGCAGTATATCTCTGAACGATGCGATGGGTGATTCCACTGTGCAAATGGGCAACATTACCTCTACTATGAAGGATGCTACAAGCCTGTCCATCTCTGCTTTGGTTACCGGTCCTCCAAATTCTCATTTGTGCTGCTTCGGAGTCGGCGGCGGCGCACTCACAACATCCTCACTCTGGGTTCGGGGGTCCTTAGCTATTAGCTTCACCTTAGCATGTGTTCTTTGCAGGTGTTTGTTGAGGTTTGACGTGGTGTTTGCAGCAGTGGATAACAGCTTCTGGGCTGGACACAGTTTGCACCTCACCGTCACATTCCTGTCTATTCTTCGGACGAACTCAAAATAATGGGCATACCTCTACCCCTCGAAAGTTATCGCTGACTCAGCCATGTTTATGCAGCACTGCACGTGGAGATGTGGACGCGCAAGTCGCGCAGATTACGTACATATAAACCTGCGGCGGAAACTCCTCTTGTCTGTCAGTGTGATTATGACTGATTTTATAAAAGTAACGAAGTAACGCGTGTCGGGGCAATGTTAGTAACTGTAGTGTGATTACTGAATTATAAAAGTAACGCGTTACACTACTCCGTTACCGACAAAAGTAATATTATTACATTATTACTTTGTAACGCGTTACACCCAACTCTGGTCCCCACTAGGGATGAGGAAATGCAACACACACCAGTTGGAATTGGTAATAATTATAATGAGTTTACATTACATTACATTACATGTTACTTGTTAGACGCTTTTATCCAAAGCGACTTACATAGCCTACTCAATACTGTGGACAATCCCCACAGGAGCAATTTGGGGTGAAGTGTCTCAAGGACACAACAACATGCTGACTGCAGTGGGGTTTGGAAAATAATACAAAATTAGAAGGAAAAAACGATGAAGCAATACAGATTTCAGTATTCTGAGCCCCCACTCTCCCCCTAACTGACGGCAACAAAAGTCCGACATTATTCAATTAAAATAAAGAAGTAAACACAATAAGTGTGGCTTGATATTGAGTAAGAAAAGGTTGATAAACGCTGTGAGAATGGATCTGCGGAGAGCATTTCGCCGCAATCCCAACTCGTCTATTACCAACGTTCAGGGAGCTCTATGCAAGTCAATGGGACTCCCTGATAGTTGAAACTCGACGCTAAAGGGCCCCCCCTTGCGTTGGAAAGTGACGACAGGGACCCTGACATAACGTCAACATAGGCCGAGTTGGGAGTGAGAATGTGTTGACTACTTATATCAAATTGGCTCCACCTTGACACACTACAACATTAAAATGCTCCGACATGTATTTGTTAGACACACTGTGAAATTGAGAGATGAGATTGGTGCATAATGATAACTTTTACTGAAACTGAAAAGTACATTTGCTGATAATTACTAACATTTTGAATTCAGTTCAACTTTCAATGGACTATTTTTAGACCATAGTGTTTGTGCGTTGGGGAGGAGAGTAGAGCTGTGTTGTGTTTGGAGGAGGGACTTCATCATTTAAAGAAGTAACAAGTTCCTGGTTAGCCAGTGAAGAAAGAGTCAGTGATAAACCATCAGAGTCTCAGCATGAAAGTCTGTCACAATTTGATCTGCTTCTTCCTCCTCTTCTGTGAGTACATCACTTTATTTTCATGTTACTGTAGTAATTTAATTTGTTTTCTTTTTCTGTTATTCTTGACTTAATGCAAGGCTTCATCAGTACGAGTTATTCAAATATTCCAAAATCAGGCTTTTTAGTACCTATGCAACCAATGACATGCTTCACTTCCTCAAACTAACTGTACATCATCATTAAACTCAGTTATTATCTGCTTACTGAATTAGTAACATGAAGTCATTACGACTAAAGTATAGGATTGTTTTCATAATCATTGAATCTCCAAATTATTTTCTTGATTCATTTATTCATATTTTGATTTGTATTCTTACTATATATACATGTCGCTAATGTTAATTTGAACTTTTTATTATATTTGTATCTTATTGTATCTTTTAAACATTTATAACTCACGTACGGCTTGACACTGCTGGGATAAATAAAGTTTATATCTATCTATCGAAGTGTTTTGTTAAAAAATGTCATAAATAAAAAAAGTGGTGTTGACATTAAACACTTTTTAGGTTATGTACTTTAAGGATTTGCTTTAATGTAACTCTTAAAGTTACAGATGGAGACTTTATGTAGTATTTGTGTCTAAAGAAGGATAAAGATCTCAGACCAAACGGTAACATTAACCTGCAGTGCTGATGGTGACCTTCAGTCACAGGCTGTGGTTTAACTCTGAGGATCTGTGTTAATGTGAAACAGGAAGTGTTGTTTTCAGACTGCAGCATCTTACAGGAAGTACAGACCACTACTAATGATGGTTCATCTTTTGTTCATCTTTTGTTCAGCTCTGCAGGATGGAAGCACCGGTCTCGTCAGTGCCCAACTCTCTGTCTTTTCAGGAATTGAAGGAGCAGATGTCACAGTTAAATGCTCCATTCCTTCTTTTGGAATCAGGAAGTTCTTCTGTAAGGAACCATGTGATAAAGAAGACATTCTCATTGAAACAACTGATGCCACAGCTCAGAGAGGCAGATACAGCATTGATTATAAAGATAGAGTTCTTTCTGTCACCATCACTCAGCTGACCAAGTCTGACTCCAGACGCTACAGGTGTGGTGCGGATACATCTTTGACAAAGGCTTCATACGAGTATATTGAAATCATCTTTATTGATGGTGAGTTTCTACTAAAAACTGAATCTTCTTCCTTGTCTTAATAATAGTTTTACCTTTTCACCACTAACTATCTAAATCCTACATGTCTTCTGAAAGTAACTGATAAACCGAAACTGACACAAGTATACAAGTGTTTTTTAATATTATTGTTTAGAATATTATTGATGAAGAATTTAATACCGGGGGCACGAGCATATTGATCTGTTGTGTGTGCTCTTATCTGAATGAAGTAGATCATATGGCCGCTCTGTGTTCTGTTAACAAGTAAGACAATTAGTAATAGATTGAGATCAATAGAAAATATTAACAACTGAACTGGTGGTTTGTGTCTGCGGTCGGGATTTAAAGGAATACTTTGCCCCCAATTTACAATTTTTAGATCATCTTGAATTTGATAACTTTTTCTAGCATGACTCCACGGTGAACAAAGAATCCCAAAATGGAGAAAAGTCTTAAAGAAAGTTAAATTAATTGGGGCCCGTGTTTTACAAGAGCAGAAATATATTAAAACATCCGTTAACTAACTCTAACACAACTAATGCTGTATAGTCCAAATGTCATTCACTGTATGCTCAGTACTTCCCTAAAACATGCATTCTACTTAAACCTCACCATTTAAAACACTTCTACACAAAGAGACGAGCTCATCTTTTCTCAAGAACAGTTAATGCAGAAGTGTTTAGATAAGTCATGTTTTAGGGAAGTTATGAGCAAATGAATTCAAGGTAACTCAGTAATGTAATAATATAACAATGATCATTTCAAGGGATAAAGAAATTATTTAAAAAATAAATGTCAGTCTTTGCAACAAATCTTCATCCTAAAGTTCACATATTGAATTATCAGTTAACCTCAATCAGATACTATTTATAATAAAAATGTCAAAGCCAACTATTTTATTAAAGCATTCAAATCTAATATAAAGAGGGGGCAGAAGCTCCAACATGGCGTTTAGGACAGAGAGTGAATACAGAGATGCTGTATGAGAAACCAATGTGAGTTTGGATGATAAATCTATTCTAGTAGACCTCAACAATGGAATTATGATCAGTAGAAATGGCCATCATGGGACCTTTAAGTTAAAAATCCGTTTCATTAAAGAGTCACACCTTAACCCTCAGTGACTGGATCAAGTTTTTAAAACACACACATGGTGAAACTAAGATTTGTAATCTACACATTGTAACTTTTGATTGTTTGTTTTTTTCAACAGCAATGCTGGATGGTGGTCCTTCTGCCGAAAAAACAATCGATGCTAGAACTGGAGGAAATATTGTAGTTCAATGCAACTTTACTCAATATAGATACAAGAAGTACTTCTGCAAGGAAGAATGTAAAAAAGGAGACAATCTTGTTGAAACGAGTAAATCAGATCAGGAAAAAGGCAGATACAGCATCAGATATACTCATAGATTTCCAACAGGAGATGTTCTGTATGTGAGCATCAAACAGCTGACCCAGTCTGACTCAGGATGGTACAGGTGTGGTCTGAGCAGAACTTCCTCTAACGATCTATACCAGAGGTTTAGGCTCATCGTCACTGATGGTGAGTTTCTGCTTGATAATGAAAATGTTTGTTCATGTCTCTGAAGACAGTTTTCACTGACAGCTGCTGATGTTTTAAACTCAATTTAGTTCAGCTGACACACACAGACACTCAGGAGGATCTAATTTCTCTCATCAGGACTTCTTGCTTGTTTTTGTTCACAGCTCTGACCACTTCTTCTCCTTCATCATCCGTCCCATCAGCCTCTACAGAAACATCAAACCAAAGTGAAAGCTCCACATCTTCACCAGCCTCCCCTAAAACCACACGTACATCCACACACATTTTTAATAAATAAAGCTTTAACAACCAATGAGACATAATAGAGCATAGGGATGGCAATGATATTCTTCCATAACTATGTTCTTGCCTGTATACACTCTTTACAACCTGAACATTTAAATAGACAGCTAATCAGATGTAACCACTTCTATGTGGCATATACTATTGACCTGCAGTAGAATACTCCCCCCAAAGATACCCTGCTTACCACTAACTGTCAGTGTAAAACAGACCTGTGTTTGTGCTCCAACAACCACAGGTGGGATCCTGTATGTGCGTCTGACTCTGGTCGTCCTGGTCATCGTGTCATCACTGTCTGTGCTGGTATTCTGCAGGAAGAGGACTTGTAAAGCCAAAAGTGAGGAACCAGGTAACACACATGAACTTTCCATTTATCACAGAAAAGTTTGAACTGCATGATCTTTCTCCACTTGTACAATAACCTTTGAAACAGACACAACATTCAGAGTTAAAGTACTCGCAAATAACAGAACAGAAGTTCCTAAACACGAAGAACAACGACATACAAGAATCTGACAAAGACTAAACAGAAAACCAACAAAGTGCAGGAGTTCAGAAGGTGGCAGAGCAGGACACACAATCAAAACAGAAAGGAAAACACACACAAGGACAGGAAGCACAAACAGACATGACAAGGGAAGAACACTTTTCATAATAAAACAGGAAACCGATAAACAAAAATGGGATCATGACAGTTGATGAGGGATGAATCTGTTTTTGTCTCCATTTGACTGAGCAAGATGTTTTTCCAGTGTAGTGTCATTATCTAAACGTACTGCTGTGTTTTTCAGAACCTCCTGTGGAAACACAATATGATTTCGTCACAGAGGTAAGTTTTGGTAAACCAGATCATAAGTGTTTGTTGAACCAGCTGATATTCACACCCTCTTCTCCTGTAGACCGACCGAGTGTACGATGATATCGGGGGAGGCCGGGCCGGAGCAGATCTCCTCCTGTGGAAATCTCTTCTGTTCACACTCACGCCAGATATACACGACCAAATGGAGATGAAACCGAAGATTACTACAACATTGACACTGCTTCTAATTCATAAAATACAGTTAGGGTTATTTAACTCTGGGCTCATAAAACAGTAGCTTTAGGCGGCATCCTTTAAAAAATGTCCACACGCTTTATCCCCGGTCACAGACCCAAACAATAATGCTAGTGGGGGAACGTTTTTTACATCTCTTGCTTTTTTATCCATAAAAACTTTTGTTAAATGTAAAAACGGATATCAGATAAGTGTAAATATGATAAATGGCCCAACCAAAGGAAACAGGATTAAGTTGTTTTTGCTTGTTGTCAATATTTACACTATATTCTATATTGGTAGTGTTCCGACTCTGATCTGCAGCTGAGACACAACAATTCTCCTGGGTATCAATAAAGTTTGATCTTATCCAAAGTTTTTGGGAAATGGTGTAAAGAATGTATTGTTGGCTTGCAGTTTACCACGGTTTGATCTTCTTGGTTTTTTAGTGAGTACACTTTGTATTTCTGCCATTTTCTATATAACGTCATTTCCCTTTTTATATTTACAGATATACTCCCCAGATGTGTGCTCATCAGGTGTTGCATATTTTAAAATGGGTCTCTGTCTTTTTGTTCCTGTGGTTAGAAGTGTGATCAGCTACCAGTATGAGTCACTTCTATTTGATTATTAGATTTCCTAAATTGTTGTACCTTTTTCTAATGTGTCTCCGATCAACATTGGCTTTTCTGTTCTTTTTAATATCTTATAATATATATAATAAATGTGTAGTCTTTAGAGTGGTTCAGCCAGACTGTAGCTGAGAATGTTGTACCTTCACAACACAGGAAACTACCTCTCACGCAATTTGCTAAAAGATGTCTTCCTTACAGAGAAATATGTATCCCAAAATAAAACGTTCAGCTTCACAGGAAGTCCCTGCAAATGCATGCTTTTGGTCACTTGCTAAGCGCTCAATCAGTACATTAACATCTTGCAATATAAGAGAGAAACAAATAGCTTTCAGAGGAAAAACAACAGAGCAAAGAGTAAAATGCTTCTAGCTGTGTAATGAAGTATATTGTATAATGTAGTAGTACATGGAAATACTCAAGAAAAGATGATATTGACTTTAACCTAACATATGTTTGAATGTATGTTTAACATTAGGGAAGATGATGCTGTATTGATTAAACTCATGAAGTGTAGGAAAGTGTTTTCGCTGATGAATGTGGAATTAAAAATGAATAATTCATGTATTGAACACATGATATTTTTAAACTAATGTTGAGTAAAAAACAATGCATTACAATATTAATCTTAAATTAAAGATGTGGATCCTCAAGTCCAAACTTTAACTAAAACTGTACTGAAGTTTTACAGAGCAGTTTCCGGTCAGAGACAGTGAACCTGAGAGGAATGAGGAGCTGCGTAGTTGATATTTTATCCCGAACAGTAATTTAAGTGTTATTCATGACTTATTACAGTGACATGTTTCACTACAGAAGGTACGAAGAACTTCAGGAGTGCAGTTTTCTTCTTAATGGACTAACAGCTCTTCTCCTGCCTCGGTAAGTTAAACTAGCTCCAGGACTGTTTCCCTTAGCCGTTAAAAAACGTTATTTTCAGTTGAATTAAATGTGTTAGTACATTACATTTAGTAGTATGAGAACAAAATGTGATGAAACTACAGGTGAAATGTTAAAGTAATATTATGTTTAACTATCAACAAACAAAAAATGTTTTTAATACGTTTTACAGTGCAGTTTCCGGTGTTAGAAAGTGACGTGAGAAGAACGAGCTGCTGCTGCGTTTCATATTGTTGATCTTAGAATGAGCAGAAAGTGATGAATAATATAAGAGCACAGTTTAATTTAGTTTGAACAGTTACATACAAGTTACTTTTTTCAATGGAGAAGGTACAAAGAACATCAGGAGGGCCGTTTTTCTGAGAAACCAGCTCGAGTGCGCTAGAATTTGAAAATACCCAACCGGAAAAATCTGCCACTTCCTTATAGAGCCCCCTCCTCCACACACCACGAACGCGCACATGACCAATGAGGGCACGAGATAAGTTTGTGCACAGATGGAAGGCTGACAGGCAGGTGGGCCCAGCGCCATATAGAGAGAGAGTTATGAGGAAGTCCAAAATGCTTGATCGTCACGTGGTTCAGGGAGAGTCAATAGTTCCCCGGAAGTTCGTGGCGGGACATTTGAATGCATTATTACCGGAGATAGAACTACGATTTTTGGTAATAAGTAGTGAATAAAGGTCTTGATTTGCAATATTTATACAACATACCGATATGTGTATGTATTTACATCAATATGTTTTAAAAAATAAATAGAATCTGCTAATATTTATGGATAATATTAGGAATAGTGTGAACAGCTAGTTTACTTGTTAAAATATACATGTTAGGCTGTTGCCTTGGTTAAAGAGCCTGTTGCTGTTGTGTATTGCTTTGAATTATTTAAAACAAATATTATCTTCTTAAACAGGTATGGTAGTCAGGAGCATCACTTCCTAATGTTTATTGATATATTTAGAGGGAGGGGATGGCAAGGAATGCTTCAAAATTTAGATTAGATTAATTTCTACCATTTTTTTAATTCATGGTGGTTTCAGTAATCCCATGGTACTTGAGGACATAAGTAATCTAAATGACTAATGTCATCTTTATGACTTTCAGAAAGGACAGGAGACCAACAGGTGACTATCAATGGACTAGCAGCAACATGATTATGATGTTAAAAGTGTTGTTTTAGGAACATCCATTGTAAATACATGGAATTCAATAAACATTGAATAGCATGTCATGCAGTTTGTCTGTGCCTTTTCCTCCGTGTTGTCCTGGCATATAGTCTCCACCATGGTTTGCTGTGCTGCCTGGGGATGCTCCAATCGCTCAGAGAAAGGAGTACGAATGAGAATGTACGGCTTCCCCACTGACACAGAGAGGAGGAAAAAATGGCTAGCTCAAGTCAGCAGGAGCAATTTAACAATCAAAACAGACAGCCGCAACAAAACATGTGAGGTAATCATATTCAAACACTGCATTTGCACTTTTTCACAAAACGAAGACCACACCATTGGGAAGCTTAATGTTTGGTTTAATACAAATAACAGGGAAAGGCTTGAAAAACTCTGAGAGTTGAGACTCAGGGTGCAGGGTGAGGGTCTCAGTGCAGGTATTCAGGCTCTATTGAATCCCCCTCTGGTTCTTGTGCTGAAAGAGGGAGAAACAGACAGGAGAAAGGGTTATACACACCTATATAGCACACCTATTGGATGGGAAATTGCCTTGGGGAGATAAGGTGTGGTCTTTGTTTCCAACTGAAGTTATGGAACTTTATTATTTGTGAGTTTAACAAAGTATGACAAATGGCATCAGTAATGGATGTGATATGAATTTGTATAAAGTTGTCTCACATTCTTGGTCGTATTTTACGTACAGTATGTAATGAGTGTATACATGTCCAGTAAGTCCTCCACCTGTAACATCACTGCCCCTCCACCTGCCATACAGTAGGTTACTAATATACACTAACAAGATTACTTATATAATACAGTGATAGAATACATGTTTAGTATGCTTACTTATATACAACAGTAGTATTACATTTACCTTGTGTTTTCACTCTCACTTTGCCATCATTTCAAAATCAGCTGTGCTGCAACATAATACAGACAGGTAATAATCAACAGAATACACTAAAAACACTCACCCATAAATTACGTTTTTTAATTCTGTTTGGAAGTCTCAAATATGCACTCTAAATTAATATCAAATAGCTCTCTTCCTTATTATTGTGTAACGTTAACTTTATTATACTAGTTTGTAGGCCTACTCCAAAATGGAGATCGTAATTTCTCCACCTCCACTCATTACAATCACACGTGCCCCAATGTTATATTTAACTAATATTATATTCCTCCACCCCACAAAAAAATCACGTTAAGAAGCCCTTTTTCTCTAATTCCACAACGTTGGATGAAATAACATTAGGAGAACGGATTAATAGCTGTTCATGGTTAACGTGTGTTGCTAACTTTATCCGGTATCCTAGCCTAATCTGTTATCTGTAAACGTTCCCTAAATCTACTGATTTAGGGATAATCCACTAACATCCTTTAATACATATGTTCATTTGACTCAGATGTGCTGATAATATCTGCAATATAAATCTTTAAAGGTCTTCTTACCTTTAAAAGTCCATCACGAACGGTCTATTATGCTGCAACTCTACTGTGTTGCTGGCCGCAATAGTTCCCCGGAAGTCAGCGGCAAGCTAACTTCCGGGGAACTATTGACGGCTCCACGATCCGCCATTGCTGTAAAAAAAACTGGTCCATTGGAGTGAACGGAGATGTCGTAACTCTTCTATTATACGGCTCTGGGTAGGCCATCCAGTTATTTTAGCCGGGCCGGCTAAAATGATTGGTCGTGCTTTTTACAGTACTACGGCTTCCACAGATGACATTTTTTTATGGATTTTTTGTCAAAGCACTTCAGATATTCATTGCTATCGGGATGTTAAGAGCATTCCATGGAATATAACAAAAAAGTGTATCTCGAGCCGGTTTCTCAAACTTACCTACCCCACCTTTAATATGCTAACCTCACTTTACCTGCCTCGGTAAGTTAAGCTAGCTCCAGACTGATTCTGTTAGCCGTGTTCTGTTAAAAAAAAGTTATTTTCCATTTAAATTAACATTAGGGCAGAGGTGGGAAGTAACTAAGTACATTAACTCAAGTACTGTACTGGTGTACAATATTGAGATACTTTGAGATATTTCCATTTTCTGCTTTCTACTTCTACTCCACTACAATTTAGAGGTAATCTGTGTACTTTACTTCACTACATCTATTTATTATCTTGGTTTACTTTGCACATTTTGATAAATAATGTGAAATATAATCAACACTTAAATCAGACTTTAGTTACCACCTGGAGTCAATTCACAAGCTACCCTGCAGCATACAGAATAATTAAAACTAGCTGCACCCTTTACCAGCTTTGATAACACTTTAATGATCAATCATTATAATCAAAACATATATTATTCTGGAATCGGTGAATTTACATATTTAATAATTATATTTTTGGTACTTTAAGTATTGATGCTAATCATGTTACTTTTACTTTAGTAACCTTTTGAATACAGGACTTGTACTTGTAACAGAGTATTCCTACACTGTTACTTCTACTTTTACTTAAGTACAAGACCTGAGTACTTCTTCCTTCTTTGGTGGGAACAATGTGATGAAACTACGGATATCATTTCCAGTAATATTTGTTTTTCTACTGTTGACTCAACAACATATACATGAGTAAGTGAGCGTTGTAGTGAAATGATGGAAATTAAAAGTTTACTAATTTTGCCAATATCTGCCTGAATTAAGCTTCCATGTTAACCTTATTTTTACATAACTAACTGGTTCTTTACTTGAGTATTTAAATGTAATGCTTCTAGATTTTATAATTGTTTACTCAACTATAGATATCTGACACTCAGTTAGGCTACTTGTAACGTTTGACCTATGAAACATGATGATATGATGCAGTTACTGTACACTACTTATATCAAATTGGCTCCACCTTGACATACTACAACATTAAAATGCTCCGACATGTATTTGTTAGACATAAAAACAGAATATACTAATATATGATAAAACAACACTGTGAAATTGAGAGATGAGATTGGTGCATAATGATAACTTTTACTGAAACTGAAAGTACATTTTGCTGATAATTACTAACATTTTGAATTCAGTTTAACTTTCATTGGAGTATTTTTAAACCATAGTGTTTCTGCGTTGGGGAGGAGAGTAGAGCAGTGTTGTGTTTGGAGGAGGGACTTCATCATTTAAAGAAGTAACAAGTTCCTGGTTAGCCAGTGAAGAAAGACAGTCAGTGGTAAACCATCAGAGTCTCAGCATGAAAGTCTGTCACACTTTGATCTGCTTCTTCTTCCTCTTCTGTGAGTACATCACTTTATTTTCATGTTAGTAATTTAATTTGTTTTTCTTTTTAGTTAATGCAAGGCTTCAGCATTACGAGTTATTCAAATATTCCAAAATTAGGCTTTTTAGTAGCTTTGCAACCAATGACATGCTTCACTTCCTCAAACTAACTGTACATCATCATTAAACTCAGTTATTATCTGCTCACTGAATGAATAAAATGAAGTCATTACTTTCTGTGAAATAATGAATATGATTGATTCATTTATTAATCTTTTGATTTGTATTCTTACTATATATACATGCCGCTAATGTTAATTTTAACTTTTTATTATATTTGTATCTTATTGTATCTTTTAAACATTTACAACTTGCGTACGGCTTGACACTGCTGGGATAAATAAAGTTTATATCTATCTATCGAAGTGTTTTGTCCAAAAATGTCAAAAATAAAAAAAGTGGTGTTGACATAAAACACTTTTTAGGTTATGTACTTTAAGGATTTGCGTTAATGTAACGCTTAAAGTTACAGATGGAGACTTTACGTAGTCTTTGTGTCTAAAGAAGGATAAAGATCTCAGACCAAACGGTAACATTAACCTGCAGTGCTGATGGTGACCTTCAGTCACAGGCTGTGCTTTAACTCTGAGGATCTGTGTTCATGTGAAACAGGAAGTGTTGTCATCAGACTGCAGCATCTTACAGGAAGTACTGACCACTACTAATGATGGTTCATCTTTTGTTCATCTTTGTTCAGCTCTGCAGGATGGAAACACCGGTCTCGTCAGTGCCCAACTCTCAGTCTATTCAGGAATTGAAGGAGAAAATGTCAGAGTTAAATGCTCCATTCCTTCTTTTGGAATCAGGAAGTTCTTCTGTAAGGAACCATGTGAAGAAGAAGACATTCTCATTGAAACAACCAATGCCACAGCTCAGAGAGGCAGATACAGCAGTGATTATAAAGATGGAGTTTTTTTTGTGACCATCACTCAGCTGACCAAGTCTGACTCCGGACGCTACAGGTGTGGTGCGGATACATCTTTGACAAAGGCTTCATACGAGGATATTGAGATCATCGTTGTTGATGGTGAGTTTCTACTAAAAACTGAATTTTCTTCCTTGTCTTAATAATAGTTTTACCTTTTCACCATTAACTATCTAAATCCTACATGTCTTCTGAAAGTAACTGATAAACTGAAACTGACACACGTACACAAGTGTTTTTTAATATTATTGTTTAGAACATTATTGATGAAGAATTTAATACCGGGGGCACGAGCATATTGATCTGTTGTCTCTGTTCTTATCTGAATGAAGTAGATCATATGGCCGCTCTGTGTTCTGTTAACAAGTAAGACAATTAGTAATAGATTGAGATCAATAGAAAATAACAACAACTGAACTGGTGGTGTGTGGCTGCGGTCGGGCTTTAAAGGAATACTTTACCCCCAAATTACCATTTTCAGATAATCTTGAATTTGATGACTTTTTCTAGCATGACTCCACGGTGAACAAAGAATCCCAAAATGGAGAAAAGTCTTAAAGAATGTGAAACTAATTCGGGCCCGTGTTTTACAACAGCAAAAATATATTAAAACATCCGTTAACTAATTCTAACACAACTAATGCTGTATAGTCCTATTACAGGTTTAAACCTCACCATTTAAAACACTTCTGCACAAAGAGAAAAGCTTCTCTTTTCTCAAGCACTGTTAATGCAGAAGTGTTTAGATAAGTAATGTTTTAGGGAAGTTATGAGCTTATGAATTCAAGGTAACTCAGGGTAAATCATAATATAAAAATGATCAGTTCAAGGGATGAAGAAATTATTTTAAAAATAAATGTCAGTCTTTGCAACAGATCTTCTTCCTAAAGTTAACATATTGAATTATCAGTTAACCTTAATCAGATGCTATTTATTATAAAAATGTCAAAGCCGACTATTTTATAAAAGCATTCAAATCTAATATAAATCCAAAATATAGAAATATAAAATCCAATTGTGAGCACAGTGTAAAATAATGATTTTCTAAATCTCTTGGAAGAATTTAAAGGTCATGCTTTTCTGGTTATTACCCGTCCCCTTGTGTGTTATGAAGGTTTTTATGCATGTGAACGGTCTGCAGAGTCACTAACCCTCAAAACACACACACACTCTTTTAGCGGCAAAAATGTGACGCGCTGGCGGGGGGGGGGGTGCTAGTGGAGCCTCGCAGCCCAGCGAAACTGTGGCGCGCTTACACTGTAGGTGCGCCGCGGGGGGGGTGCTAGTGGAGCCTCGCAGCACGGCGAAACTGTGGCCCCCTCAGCGCCCCCCTTCCCGCGTCCTTTCTCGATGTCTCGCTGTCTCGCAGCAAGCAGGAAACCACACCAGTAAGCCAGCTCCTCGCAGCAGCGAGCCAGTGGGCGAGCTGACCAATCAGAGCACAGTGGGCTCACAGGGAGGGGGGGGCAGAAGCTCCAACAAGCCGTTTAGGACAGAGAGTGAATACACATACTTTACAGAGATGCTGTATGAGAAACCAATGTGAGTTTGGAACATTGAACAATATAAATCTATTCTAGTAGACCTCAACAATGGAATTATGATCAGTAGAAATGGCCATGACATGGGACCTTTAAGTTAAAAAGCCGTTTCATTAAATAGTCACACCTTAACCCTCAGTGACTGGATCAAGTTTTTAAAACACACATGGTGAAACTAAGATTTGTAATCTACACATTGTAACTTTTGATTGTTTGTTTTTTTCAACAGCAATGCTGGATGGTGATCCTTCTGCAGAAAAAACAATCGATGCTAGAACTGGAGGAAATATTGTAGTTCGATGCAACTTTACTCAATATAGATACAAGAAGTACTTCTGCAAGGAAGAATGTGAAGGAGACAATCTTGTTAGTAATGCAGATCAGGCAAATGGCAGGTACAGGATCAGATATATTCATAGATTTTTCTACTTATTTTCTGTTTGTGAGCATCGACCAGCTGACCCAGTCTGACTCAGGATGGTACAGGTGTGGTCTGGACAGAACTTCCTCTAAAGATCCATACCAGAGGTTTAGGCTCATCATCACTGATGGTGAGTTTCTGCTTGATAATGAAAATGTTTGTTCATGTCTCTGAAGACAGTTTTCACTGACAGCTGCTGATGTTTTAATCTCTCAATTTAAAAGAGTTCAGCTGACACACACAGACACTCAGGAGGATCTCATTTCTCTCATCAGGACTTCTTTGTGTCTGCTTGTTTTTCTTCACAGCTCTGACCACTTCTCCTAAAGCTACAGAGCAGCCTGAAGAAACTAAAGGTACATCCACACACTGTGTTTACTAGATAACGTTTCAACAATTTATGAGACATAAAAGAGCATGAGCATGTCCAAAAGTTTACAAAAGTACATTTTTAAATGCTGAACCTCCAAATCAGGTTCCCAGCGTTCAAAAGATTTACTCTATAAATACTTCTGACCTGTTGTCTTCACCTAAAGATAACCTGTCCCCCCCTTGAAAAACAAAATGGATTATGGGTACTCAAGTGTTCGATGTCATGCATGGTTTACATTTAACTCTTCAAACAGCCACAGATGTGATCCTGTATGTGTCTCTGACTCTGGTCGTCCTGGTCATCGTGTCATCACTGTCTGTGCTGGTATTCTGCAGGAAGAGCATTTGTAGAGACAAAGGTGAGGAACCAGGTAACACACACACACACACACACACACACACACACACACACACACACACACACACACACACTCAAAACATTTCTCTCTGAAAAGTTGTAGTTTTCTCTTGACCTATATTAACTTTAAAAGCAGACGCACAATTCTAAAATAACTTTCTCACACAAAATGTCCATCCCCCATCACCAGATTGGTTGTACTGATATTCATTTACAGCATTAAGAATAACCCAACTGCTGCTCAGTCTAAAGGTTTTGTTATCACTGGTTCTTGTAGAGTGATAATCCTTCAGTTGTTGCTAGGAAACAGATGCTAGATTTATGCTTTGTAAGTTGCAAGATAACAAACATAGAACATATAGTCTAGTAGTATCTACTGTATACAACTACACAATAATACGATATTTTTTTTAAAACACACATTTAAATCTAAATCACACCTGACTGCAAATCAGTCTATCTACAAAACGTATGCCATTTATAAAAATAAGCTTTTACAAACACACACAAATAGAGAGAGCTAAGAGGATAGCTTCCTCTATTTTGGAGACTCAGTGAAGTCAGAGGATCAGAGGCTTTTTTAAAGTTAATATGCATTTTAGAAACATGTACAGCTATAGCTTGTTATTTTTTTCATTGAAACTTTATTTTATATACTTATTCAATTTGTTTTAATAGTTTACATTTGGCAGGATGGTTAATGATTAAATATACTGTATATTCTGTTGTTTACATTACATTACATTACATGTTACTTGTTAGATGCTTTTATCCAAAGCGACTTACATACTCAATACTGTGGACAATCCCCACAGGAGCAATTTGGGGTGAAGTGTCTTTCCCAGGGACACAATGACATGCTGACTGCAGTGGGGTTTGAACCTGTGACCCCCTGATCTGAACACCTGCGCACAACCAACTGTGCCACACGCCGCCACTGGAGTTTACAAACTCAAAACACATCTATTTATCTTGTTTTACTCAGATTTGAACAGTTGGCCTAAATATTGGTCCAAATGGGGAATGTGTGATGTCATGTTTGAAAATCTGTTCCGAGTCTTTTTCTCAAAGGTCTGTTGTGTTTTTCAGAACCTCATGAGGAAACACAATGTGCTTCTGCACCAGAGGTGAGTTTGAGGAAATCTGAGCATCATATTAATTCAGTTTTATGTAGACCAACGAAGTGTACAAGGGTCTATGTGAGATCTCCTGGGGAAATCTCTTTAATTTACACTTACGCCAAATAAACACAACCAAATTGAGCCAAAACCAATGATTACTACAACGATGTCTCTGCAGCTAGTTTACAAAATACACCAAAAAATGTTATACAACTTTAACTTTGGGATCACACAACATTAGCTCGGTAGTGCTACATGTTTGCACCTGTTGCTGCTTCCTATTCATATTTACTGAAATGCCAGATTTGGCTTTGATTCATTTCGGACAATGTCTGCAGTATTATAATACGTGTAAATATGAATAAAATACCTAAAGAAACAAAACTTCTGAAAGTTTATTTTATAACTTCACAATGAAGTCCAGTTGCTTGTTTTGTTCTGTTTTTAAAGACACATTTAATCAAGCAATGTTGTTTTCTCCAGGCTGAAGACGACCTGAGTCAACACACCTACTCTGAGATCAAATTAGTCAGCGTCGGCTCGTCCCACAGCGGTTTCCACGGTGACGCTGAGTGTGTTATCTACTCTGTTCCTCAGGTGGAAGCTAGCTCTGATGAGCCCCCTCTGTACTCTACTGTTAACAACCCCCAATAACTCTCACAGTCTGGCAGAAGAAGCTGGTGTGGATTAAGCGGCCGCGTAAATATTCTGAGACAGAGAGATGTTTGTGGGAATATGTACGATTATTTAACCATTTACTTAATTCAAACCTGCTTTGAATGACCTCATGTGATGATAAGTCCAGCTCTGCTCTAGTTCACAAAAGTGCCGCTTCAACAGTTTGCTTCAGGTCAAAGCTGGTTGCACTTATTGTACGTCCCTTTGGATAAAAGCCTCAGCTAAATTATATTTAATGTAAAAAGCTCTTTTATGGCTTCAATTTATTTATAAAGTTCATTTTATTACACTTGATATGGTATTAAAGTTATCTCTGTAAAATAGACTGTTCTAGTAAAGTTAGTAGATTAGCATAAGATATGTTGCTTAGAATTAGCTTTGATTATTAAATCGACTATTTTGGTTAAAGGGGACCTATCATGCAAAATGCACTTTTGTACGTCTTTTATACATGAATATGTGTCCCCGGTGTTCCAGGGAACTCACCAAGTGTCAGAAAACACAACCCTCTCTATTTTCCTCCATACCCAAATCTCTAAAAAAGGGGTTGCAACGGATTTGATAAAAACTGATCCAGATTTGAACACTTTACTGTCGTCAGGGGGGGGGGG